ATTTCAGGAATAGCTGATTTTTATACTGGGTATTCTGAGCACTAAATAAAACTACAGTTAAAATGTTTTGCATAGACGTTCTAATTATTATCCAAATCATTTCAACAAGAGAAAAATGTCAACCTTTCCCCACCATTATCCACCTTAGGCATTAGCCAAGCAGTGTGACTGCTGTTAACACTATATGTAAGATAATTTTATATCTTTACCAAACAGCCAGTAATTTCTTGGCTTGGGAAAAAAATTCAGTAATATTTTTAATATAATTTGTATATTTTTTGTAATTTCTCCAGATAGAGAAATATGTTTGCTTTTTTATGTTTTAATGCTATAATTTCCAATAACTTCTACTACTGATGTGGCTCAATTTTAGCAATTTTATTAATAATAATACCATTAATATATTGAGTGTTGAAACTCAACCATTATTTTTCTCAACTATTGTTATTTTTTAAATCACCTTTATTGATTCAATTTGAATTCCATGAGTTACATTGAACTAGTAGGCATACTATCACCTATGAATATTTTATTTACATCCAAGCCTACTTTGCATCTATATATGCACATATGTAATTTTCAAATAATATATATTTTCAAAAATAATTTACAAATATACGTAATTCATACAAATGATAAGTTTACTAATCTTTTACTATACCATAAATATTTTTTATGACAATACAGAATGTATAAATCATCCTAATGACTGCAAAATAGTCTATTGTACAAATTGCCATGATGAATTAGATAATGTACTTGACTAATTTAACTAATTTGTTGTTAAATATATAAGTTCATTCAACAACAAGTATTTATTCAGTTCTTATTATTCACTTCTTACTATGCACTGTTCTCGGAATTCAAAGTACAGCAAAGAACAAACACAAAATTTTTGCCCTCTTGAAGCTTACATCCTAGTTTTGTTTCTACTCCAAAAATACTTCATACTTAATTGCAAAAAGCCTTTGAGCTACAGAGAAATTCAATGATTACTTCTGTGTGTAGAGTAAACACAGAGATTGCATTGTGGTTTGGGATTACCAAGAGGTTCCTGAGAGGCAGGGTGTTTCTGCTGCCCTATAATCTAATCCTTCAGTATCTATTCCCAAACCCCCTCCAAATAAAGAGAATCAAAGAAGGAGGTGGAGGAGGAGGAGGAGGATGCTCTGCAAACTTCCGGGTAACTCTCCTCCCTTGCCTCCCTCCATTCCAGCAAGATTGTTTCCCTTGGCTCTTCCTAGGTAGAAAATCTGGAACAATGACTGAAAAAGGGATGACCTGAAGAACTTGTCCCTGTTTCAGGATTTGCTCCTTCCCTCTAACTGGCTGCAGAACAGCTTTATTTTAAATGAGCTCACACATACTGGGTTGTGGTCAGCAAAATCTGGCTTACAGTTGAGTCTCCTGCACTTTTCATAGCCTCCCTCCAGCTCTCTGTACTTGTATATACACATATATAATTTCTAGTTCCTTAGATGATAGATGCTGCTGCACAGACATATTCTAAGACCTGAAAATGATACAGTCCAAACTCCCCTCCTTCAGATAAGAAACAGAGAACCAAAGAGGTTAAAATTGATCATTAAAAGGATGAACATGCTGGACAAACCTAGATACTTTTTCTACTGACCATATTTTTGTAATACATGGGCCCCATTCTTGACTGTGAAACTCCTTTTAACATGTCTAGCCTTGTTACACCACTCTTCTGAGTATAAAAACAGCAAAGGTAATGGTACCAGAAACTCAACTGAGTGCCAGTGGGGGTGACCATGGTAAATACAGCATGGTGGGAAAAGATTTCCTTCCCTCCAGCTCAGCGGCAGCCTCCACACATCCAAACACGGGCCCCAAGAAGCAATGGCACTATCAGTGGACAGGAGGCGGGGATGTCAAGAGACCCTAGGGAACCACCTGACACAAAGGTGGCACTGTGTGGTGGTGGTTTGAGTCCTCTGGCTCTCCTTCCACAAGGTCCTGGGAACCAGATGTGGTACTTTAGATGAGGTCTAAGGAACAGAGAAACTGCGCCCTGGACTGTGAATGCTGCACCTTTCCAGGATGGTATTACAGGATGTGGAGAGAGTCCCCAGCTCGACAGGGAGGTGATCCATTCCAAAGCAATTGGCCTAAGATTATACCTGGGCACTCTCCAGATTCAAGGGGGCACACCTGGGCTCTGAATACCAGTGAAAGTGAGGACAGATTGGGGCTGAACTATAGGTGAGCCCCCTCAGGATTTGAAATACTCTATGAGGGGTGTCCCTGGGGCAGAGAGGGACCTGCTTTGAGTGATAAGGTGGGGGGGGCAGTCATATTAATATTTATTTTAAAAAGATTGTGACCTTCTTTGGCATTCCAAGCTGATGAAATAGTTCATTTATGTTACATGAAATAGCTCTTGTTGAAGAATATGTATTTTCTTGTGTGCTCTCAGTAAAGCATTCCACAGTGCTACAGAGAATTACACACACAGGCATGCATATACAGAGTATATAAATATATTATATATATATACATATATATAATATATTTATAATTATAATCAGATTTATAAACAGTGTCTTCAGGGACTTAAACTTAAGTTAGGAACACAGAATTTTTATAAGTATTTACATGCAGAATTTGACTACACTACTCTGAAATTTATTTTAAGTCAGTGAAAGGAGTAAAATGGTCAGATTTATGCCACACAATTAATAGAATTTCTTTCTAATTTAAGCTTCAGAAGCCATAGAGCAGTTACACTAATTTCACTTCTTGCAAAAATTCTTCTAAATTGTAAATCCAACAGCCACTTCTAAAGGAGTTTTAGTTTAGATTTTAAACTACTCAAGATAGGTCATTACCAAAAAAAAAAGCAATGTGCAGAAAAAAATTTTTCTTCCAAAAATATTTTTAAAACATTTAAATCATCCAGATTTTAATTCATAATTTTAAATATATATTTAAAATTAGCAAAAATGCCTTAATAATTTGAAATATTTCTAAGAAAATATATAATTTTCCTCTTAATGTCAGGGATTTTTCTGTTCTTGCATTATTATTCAAATCAAAGGATTAAATCCTATTTAAAATATGACCCTGATCAAGAAAAACAAGGAAAGACTGAGGAAATTTTTACACATCAGGAGAGATTAAGTAGATTTGACAACTGAATGTAATGTGGGATTCTCAACCAGATTCTGTGACCAAAAAAAAACCAAACATGAATGGGGAAATTGTTGTACTAACTACGATATATAAAATGGATAAACAACGTTTCTACTGGGATTCTCAACTGGATTCTGTGACCAAAAAAACCAAACATGAATGGGGAAATTGTTGTACTAACTACGATATATAAAATGGATAAACAACGTTTCTACTGTATAGCACAGGGAACTATATTCAATATCCTGTAGTAGCCTACAGTGAAAAAGAATATGAAAAGGAATATATGTATGTGTATGTATGACTGAAACATCATGCTGTACACCAGAAACTGATACAACATTGTAAACTGATTATACTTCAACTGAAAAAATGGAAAAAAAAAAAATGAGGGGAGGGTATAGCTCAGCGTTAGAGTGCACACCTAGCATGCACAAGGTCCTAGGTTAAATTCCTGGTACCTCTGTTTAAAAAAATAAACAGTAAAGAAACCTAATATTTCCTCCCCCCATTAAAATTTTTTTTTATAAAAATGGGGAAAAAAGCAAATACCTTCTATAGTTAATAACATTTGCCATAATAATTTCCTAGTTTTGCTCATTATACTATGTTTATATAATATGTTAACATTAGGGGAAGCTGGGTGAAGTTTATACAGGAATTCTCCATACTATTTTTGCATCTTTTCTGTAAGTCCCAAATTATTCCAAATTAAAAGTATGAAACAGATCCCTGGGCAGAAATGCCCTTTGTTTCCTTATGCAACTGGGTAGATTTTAGCTATCAATGAAATATCTCTCTGCAGCATGCCTAAGAGAAGATCTTGTGATAATGAGAAAAATAATTCCTCACCACCTTCAGAACACTTATTTGATGGCATCTTTTGCATAGGTAAAAATATTTATTTTTATCTTGATTAAAAAAATTTAAAAATTCAGCAATTAATGACTTCCAAAAATTGTGCTAATAATGATAGTGATTGAAACTACTTCTTTGCAGGCTGTATCTTCTGCATTATTATGTTAAGCCATAATTAACATGCTTTTTCTACAGTCATTTTCGATACTAAAATTTTAAGTAAAAACTGCTTTTACAGAATGCATTCCACAGTGTCTTTTGGGACCTTGTCATAACACCATAAACTACAGCAGATTCAGGAAATATAGGCTAAAGGGGCCCTACGTAAGAGGGTTTGCTAAAGAAATGACTAGTGGATTTCAGTATAAAACAGTTTCATTTTAAGTTTATCCCAAGAGCATTAGCCCTGAGGGCTGTGTTAATGCGGAAAGTTTAAGTTCAATGTACTTTCACTGTGAACTGAGTGCAAGGGCCATAATTAATGCTTGCTTCAGATTCCTAAATTTTAGCTTCTCCAAATTATCCTCAGCCAGCCAACACATTTACCCTCAAAGGATGAGATATAATATCTAAGAAACAGCATTGCCTTTACTTTAGAAAGAAAGCAACTTTGTTATTTTAAGGTCACAATATATCACTCCTTACCCAAGCCAACTCTCCTTCTGGCCTTCCTTGTGACATAATTCTATGTTTCAGACTCTCATTTGGCTTAAATTTTCTGATAGCCGCAGGCTCAAAGGAAAAGCAAACTTAGTACCTAGAAATGCACCCATGTGTATAGGCATCCACTAGCAGACAAACTAATAAGACTTAGTTCAGCAAATTGGCTAGTTCTCAATTCAAGAGAGAAAGAGGACTACAGTGTGAAAGGGAAATCTTGAAAGTCCAAAAGTGTAAGCGCCTGTCCACAGGTGAGGGTAGGAGTAAGAGACTCAGGACCTGGCGAAGAGGGAGAGGAGGCAGCAGAGGCACTAATGCAAACTTACCAGTTTGCAACTGGCTGGAAGAAAGCCTTCTAAGACTCCATCTCAAAGGTGACAGTGGTGTCTCCCTGAAGCAGTCAGGATGCCAGCAAGTTGCGCTGGGTAGAGAGGAGAAAACAGATTCACAGCTATGACTTGTCTTGTTCCAGATCTCAGCCAATGCAAATCACAAGATGCTACCTTAGATCTTAACACAATGTACTGGGAGCTCTGAGGGCCGATAAAAATGAATGCCAAGGAACACTGTCGTAAAGTCAACCAATGCAGAATAATGGTTAATATGGAAGGGGAAAATCAGCTTCAAAGTCATTTTGAAACCACAAATATCCCATCAAAGGTTACAATACATGCATTTATTGCCAAAGTAATTTTCTCCCCACTAGAATAATAGGATCAGACAAAAATAAAATGCTAGGAAAAAAAAAAACACAAAGAAATTACACAGTTGAACTTTCATACACTTTATTTTAAGGCTTTGGGTAGTAGAGGTAAACTAAATGCCTCTAGTCTTTTGAGAGAATCTCTCCCCCACACTTTGTCAGCCTCTCCAGGAAATTTCTTGTCAGTCTTTGTGCCACTGTTTGTACCTCCAGCTGGCTTTCCAATTTCTTGAAACTACTTGGAAGAAACCATTACATCTTCTCAGATTGAAAATTTTAATTGGTATAAACAAAATTATCATATGATTTCAACACCTCCCCTTTCCACAGTGCTTTTTCCAAAACTATTTAACTAATTATCCTTCTAAGGATTTGGCCCAAACACAATCACAGCTTCTTTGTTGAAACAATTTCTCACCTTAAAAAAAAAAGTTGGCAGGAGTGGCTTGGTTTTTATTGCGTCTTGTTTGTATTAGATTTTTTTTCCCCCATGGATAATACTTTCGGAGTCAAACCCAGTTCTGTGCATCCATCAGATTGAACCCAGGGTCCCCACCACTCCAGGCAAGACTGGCTTCATGGTATGCGATCTGTGCAGTCACGTGTGTATCTGGCCTGCACTCAGAAGTGCCCTGTGCTTGGTTTGACAGTCTGTTGTCACCAGCTGAAAATTCTTAATAATTTTTGAGTAGAAACCCTGCATTTTCATTCTGCATCGGGTCCTGCAAATTAAATACATAGCTGGAGATAACATCTTAATTCAACAAATCCCAGCCAGAAGTCCTGCTCTATAGCCTGACTAAGTCTCCGGAATTCCTACCAGGTTTGCCTTATCCTGAGGATACTCAGCCTCCTAGACAGTTATTTTTCAGAACACCAGTACAGTTGTGCTTCTTAGCTAGAGCCAACTGTAAACGGACCAGGTAAGCAAAGGGAGGAGGAGGAAGTATGTATAGGAAGGAAGGTGTAGAAAAACCCATCGGAAATATTTTGTGAGTTTGTAAGTTAGACACAGCATTTAGGGAGTCTCTAAATGAGGGAACTGAACTCTAAACATCACTCTCTATGAACATGCACCATAATCAGTACTGAAAAAGCAAACAAACAATCTTAACTTGATGATCACAGCTTAAAAATGAGAAGAGACTTTAGAAATCACTTAGTTCAACCTTTTTATAGTTCCCTTTCATCAGGAATATGAAGATGACAAAGCCCACTGGCTCATATATATTTAGCAGCTCAGCAGGGATGAAAATCTAGGTTTTCTGGTTCCCAATCCAGGGTGCTGTCAAGCACACTCCTCAGCCTCTGAAAAATGAAATGCCCTTCAGAAAGCTGGTCCACCACAGGCACAGCTGTGATGGTGCTAAGAATGTCCCTGCAGTGTAAAGTCCCAGGAGCTTGTTGTTCGAAGTCCGTGAACACCAAAGCCAGATACCACCTGGCTGGCCTTGAGAGTGGTGATCACTGTGGGTTTACAATATTATAATGCAGGGTAGACAGTTCAAAAGCACATTTTTCAAAGTATTTTTTCACACAAATTGTATACTGTGGCTCTCATCGTACATAGTCCTGCATTTTTGACTTATTTAAATACTGCTAGTTCCAAATAGTGGTTCCGTCTTTATTTGTAAGTAAATGTGGCATGTGATGTCCCCCAAAACACATTTTTCTTTTCCAGACATTTTTCATATTTATTATTGATTTTTTATTGGGCAGGAGGAGCGTTGTCTGTACGTGAAATTTAAGAACAAAGAAAAAGTTCAGCTCTGCTTTTGTCGTGAAGTTAGAGCTCCCTCCAGTGATCTATCTGGCTGGCTGAACTCAAAAACGCCCTTCCTTTCCAACTGTTCCTCAGTGCAAACAAATAAATCTAAGCTTTAGGTTTTTTAATGTAAATTTTTTTCCCTTTTAAAAATTAAACTCAGCTAATAAATACATTAATATTGATTTCTCATAAAATCTTGTTAAATATCCATATTCATGTATCTTCTATTAGAATATTTGATGGATAGAACCAATACAATAAGTCATGGTCAAGAAATTTTCATTCTGGCAGAGAGGCTGTTCATGTATTGTTATTATTTATAAACTTTTATGACTCTGCATATGCGAGGGAACTTTCACAGTCATTAACAAAGAAACCAGGATGGATGCCCTACCGTTCATAACGGAGTTATTTATATTTCACAGGCTTTTCAGATGAACTGAAAGAACTTTTTAGATTTATCACAGCCACCTTTCGCATTCTTCTCATAAACTGCCTTCAATTTACTGGCTTCTACAAGCCAAGCATAACAGGGCCCACATCAGTGATGCTGCACAACTCGATCAACTACAGGTAGTACTCAAAGGGATCATGAATAATTCACGACACTAGCCGAGGGCCAAGTGGATATTAAATCACTGAGGAAACTAGTTATAATTTTCATGATTTATTTAGTTAGTTACTTACTTGTTTATTTAATTTCCCTGAATACCAGATAAGGTCCTTCCTTGCTCAGGATCAGGGAATCGCAGTCAAGGTAATTGGTGAGATGCTCTCTTGATCTCTTGCCTGTTCCCACTCTTCCCTTCCCCCTCTTTTTGTTCCTTCCTCTTCTTATCTAGTCTCTCTCTCTCTGTATATATATATATTTGTTATCTCTTTCCTTCCCCCCTTCATATAGGTTTTGCTGAGACTCACAGCTTTAGAGGTGGTAACTAGATTAAAGATAATCTAATAGAATCCTTTACTTTTATAAAAGAGAAATTCAAGAAGGTTGAGAAGCTTGCCTGAAATCACACCAGAGTTTCCTGCTCCTTCCTCCTTTCTTCATGGCAATGTCTTAAGCACCCATTTGTCAGAGAACCCCTGGGTATTTCTGGCCCCTATTTCACCCTCATCCATTGTCTAAGGCTTGGGTTAATGCTCAAGAATATATAAGCAGCAATGGACATAGAGCTGATAGAAATGGTTTTCTGTATGAAGGAATATTAGAAAATTAAAAAACGGGAAATTACATAAACATACAATATTTCAAAACTATGGAATCTGGATTTCTGAACAAAAAATTTTGAAAAGTACCTTGCTTTTGCTCCTTTAAACCTTAACAAGAGAACTTTATTTGATACTGCTTCTCATGACAGTGATGTTAATAATGTTGCATTACATTTATCTAGCACATTAGACCTTACAGTGTTTCTTCAGCCAGGGTGCTCTTCCAGGTAACCAGAACATGCTCTCCTTGAAGGTCAAGAACCAGCACTACATATGGTACGATGTAAGGAAGCAATAGAGACCTCTGAGTCTCTATTCTGTGCCACCATTAGCTCTGGGTTACTGTATGGCTGAGCTCAACATTCACTAAAATGTTTATGCAGCTTAAAGGAAATGTCCAATTCAGCACTTGAAATAAGAAGGTAATAAAGATGTAGATAAGTAAAGCAAAATGACTAGCTAAGAAAAATTGCTGCATCTTCTACAGCAAGCATGGGTGTTCCGTCACCATTAGCCACTGCCAGGAAGTCCAGTAGGAGTAATAAATCTAACCATAATACCAGGTGTTACCCTGAGCAGCAAGGTTTCCCTTAAAGAAGTCCACCCACCTAGCTCAAAATGTTGTGTGAGAAAGTTTCAGGAACATCCAGCTATCTTGTTAACCTGAATTACTTACAATGTGCAAACAGTTTTGCTCGATGTAAGCTATTTTACTAAGGAAGTAATTGAAGATTACACCGAGAAAAAAGTTCACTCTGTAGAGCAACAGAGCAACCCCAGTTACTCACAGATCTCAAACAGTTTCCATGAGCAATAGAGTAGCTTCTATGATAGATGTGAATCAAACCTCTTACTCCAATGCCATGGATTTTAGTAAGCATGAAAATCTCTTGAAGACCCTGCTAAAATGAAAATTCCAAGACTGCCCTCCACAATCCTCTTTCAGTAGCTGTCAGGTGCACTAAAAGTATTTCAATCAGAAAATGAGGTGATACTGAGGTCAACTGCCTGGGTACCACACTTTGAAAAAGAACTACGTAAACTAAGTCAGCAAAATGTGTATTGAGAACACGAGGCGGGTGATGGTCACTGTGTTACTTCCAATTACTTCCTTTGCCACAGGAGGAGAACTGAAGCAAAAGCTATAAAAAACTGGGCTCTATTCCTGCCTCTGAAGGGGATTCTCTTCAGCTTTCTGAGGGAGCATCACTGACCTCACCTTTTAAGATCTACTTTATAGAATCATAAGGTTATAGGAAGTATTTTTTTAAATATCTGTAAGTAAAAATATTTCTCAAAACACAAAATACTAAATTAAAGTGTGTATTTTATTAAAGAACAAAATGTCCAGGGAATTTGGCAGCATAGTCCACAATGTACAGATACATACTTCAGTTAGAACGGCACTGTCTGCTCTCCTTGACTCTTGAAACTGACTGAGGTAAACTTCTAAACGAGTAGCCCTAAGATACAAATTATTTGGAGAGGATGTACAAATGTTAAGAAATAATATCAATTACAAAATAAAACAGCTCTGCAAAACTGAACGTAGTTCATCAAGCTGAGAAGGCCATGCTGCTAAATTTACCCAAATTTTTCTAAGTGGTTTAAGTTAACTTTTGAAAATTGAGTCCTTGTATTTTTATCAAGATAAGCCAAATAATAAGGAGCAGGCACCCTGGCATGAGTAAAGACGAGGGCTTTGGACTGAGACTAAAAAATGCAAGTGTTGGCTAAA